AATATAATATGTATTATATAGCAATGCATATAATATAATATATGTATTATACAGCAATGTAATAATATATATTATATAATATATATGTATTATATAGCAATGTATATAATATATAAGGTATTGTGTGTATACACACACACACCAACCAGTGATCCAACATCCATCCATGTGTGTGTGTGTGTGTCTACACTGCCATATAATCCACTCCTTGGATTGTGAGGAGTTTTGTTGCCAAATTTGGGGTAATTTGGCCCCATAGGTTTTTTGTTTTTAATGTACTCATTATGCACAGAGCATTTTTATACCTATAGATTGTGTATCACATGACTTCAACATCTCTGGATTTTGGGTCATGGAAGCACTCTATTTGTTCTGGAGGATGACCCATAGAATCTTAGAGTTGGAAGAGACCCCCAAAGGTCATCTAGCCCAACTCCCTTCTGCCAGGCAGGAAGACACAACCCAAGCCCTCTTGACAGATAGCTGCCCAGCCTTTGCTCCCCTTTCCTGGAGGATGTGAGGCGGCGGAATTGGGCAAGCTTGGTGGCTGGCCGGCCTTCCCTACCTCTGCTCATCCGTCTCTGGCTCCACCAGGATGTTCTCCTGCCTCTCCTTCACTCGCAGGAACACAAAGGCGTCCAGGTTTGGTTTGGGGACTGCAAAGAAAAGACAAAGGGAAGAGCGTCTCTCTCAAAAGGAGGCCCAGGCGGATTCCGTTGCGTTGACTCTCCAAACAGGACTATATTGACGTCTGTTTTGATATTGATTCTTTTGTATTGCTTTTAAGGTTGCGACCCACTTTGGGTCTCGATCCAGAAACAAAAGCTGAGCACAAACTAATGGCAAGAATTAATAAGGAAATATTAATAATAATCTATAGAAATAAAAATATGTTTGTGCGATTAACGTAACTCACAAACCACTGGATGAATTGACACCAAATTTGGACACAAGACACCTAACAACCCAAGGAGTGACCATCACTCAAAAAATTGATTTTGTCATTTGAAAGTTGTAGTTGCTGGGATTTATAGTTCACCTACAATCAAAGAGCATTCTGAACCCCACCACCGATTGAATTGAACCAAACTTGGCACACAGTTCTCCCATGACCAACAGAAAAAACTGGAAGGGTTTGGTGGGCAGTGTCCTTTGGTTTTGGAGTTGTAGTTCACCTACATCCCAAGATCGCTGTGGACTCAAACAATGATGGATCTGGACCAAACTCTACAAGAATACTCAATATGCCCAAATGTG